ATGCAAATTAAAACAACTATGAGGTACCACCTAACACCCTCAAAGATAGCCCAATTCAAGAAATCAGAAAGTAATAAGTGTTGGAGGGGATGCAGAGAGATAGGAACTCTGGTCAACTGCTGGTGGACCTGTAGTATGTACAGCCACTATGGAACTCGATTTGGCAATATCTAAAACAGTTGGAAATTGAGCTACCCTATGATCCAGCAATCCCCCTACTGGACATATACCTGGAAGAGACAAAAAACAAACCACGGCCAGACATCTGTGCTACAATGTTCTTCACGGCACAGTGTACAATTGCAAGAAGCTGGAAACTGCCCAAATTTCCATCAACAGACAAATGGATTAAAAAACTCTGCTACATACATACAATGGAGTATTACACATCCCTAAAAAGCAGTGATGAACGCATGAAGCACATTGTCGCATGGGAAGAATTGGAGGAAATTATGGTAAGTGAAATAAGGCAAACACAAAAGGACATGTACTACATGAGTCCGCTAAGGTAAGCTCAAAAAAAAAATTATTTTTTTTTCAAAAAGGGCATAGGGAAGAAGCTGTATACATACTTCCCTGGAGTGAGGTCCAGGTAATATGGCAGGGGCCAGACGAAATCCAGGGATACATATGGTAGCCCACTAAAAGGGAGGAGGGAAAAAGGTATGGGTAGTCAGGGGAACAGGGCATGAATCCACACAGGGGGAGGGTGTTGATTGTGTCTCCACAGGGAAAGAGGGGCCAGACTTCAACCCAGAGCTCCAAGACAAGAACACAACACACTGACATGAAGTAGGGAACAGATGGAGAGGCCTGAGGGGCCGGCCCCATTACCAACTGGATGCAGGGCACCACCCTCCCCCAGGGGGAATTCACTTCAGAGGGCAGCACAGAAGCTGCAGCTGGGGAAGAGAGGAAGGGGAAATGGTCTGGTCAGAGCACACGGTGAGCCAATGAGGGTGGGGAGGGGAAGAAAAGGAAAGAGTGGAGCATATCCTGGCTCACTGAGACCTGGGGACAATGTGCCTGGTTCGGAACAGTGATGCACGGAAATGACCATGGGGCAGGCCCCAACACAGGACACAGCGTTCCTCGTTGACCCATCGCACCACTGGGGACAGCACTGGAGACAAAAGGCAGGAATTGCACCCGCCATGAGCTCACCATGCCTAACGCCAGCCTCTGGGAGCATGCATCAGAGCAGTGGGGGGAGCAGAGCGGTGAGATCTTCAGGGATAGAGGCGATGCCAGGGCATGGCACCCAATCAGACTTTACTGGAAAGCACACGTGAAAGAAAACAGACCCTGAACTATTCATACGGTTATATATGTATGCATATGTGTGTATTGTTGTTGTTGTAGACATTG